CCCACCCACCCACCAACTCCTTTCAATTGCTTAAAAATTTTTATCACACACGTCTCTGTAAAAAATAACTTTTAAAATCCCTAGTAACGTTGGTATTTAAAGCAATGGCATTTTCTTCCCATGGACATAACATTTTCAATAATCAATACAAGATGGCAACCGTAATTTATTGCCGGTAGGGGGTGGAGAGAGAGGGTAGGGGCGAACACGGAATGCAGCCGGCAGTTTGCCGAGGGACGGAGAGACTCAGGTTGTTCGAGGGGCTGGGGAGCATCTGCGGTGACCCCCAGGTCCACACATCACGGCCGGCGAGCGCGAGGCCAGCCGCGCACTGGTCCAGACCCAAGAGGCACTGCCTGCTTGCCTTCAGCACTGAAGAAAATAATGCGGATTCTTCCCCACACACAGCAAGCTGGTGGGCGGGAGGAATCGCCAAGGTGCCTCTTTTTGAGGGAGACCTGCGGGCACCGGTGCCGGCGCTTTTATTTAGAGCATTCCCCCCACTGAGCACAACTGGGAGGCACCCATCTGACACCTCCTCCCGCAGCAGCCCAGCGCGGTTTTCACTCGGGCTTTGCTTGTTTTTGTCTGGCAGGGAGTGGATGCTCCTCCCTCGGTGCCTGGCCCTTCGACAATGATGTAACCGGTATCTTTCGAAGCACTCGAGGGTGTTGGAAAATACACAAAAGACGACCTCCTTCAATCTATGAGGACTGGTGTGTTTGCCAACAACCCGACTTCATTAGAAAATTGGCACGTCCACCCAGCTGCCTGTGACACGCCGTTAACTGTGGACATTTGCTGTCTTAATGCTCAAGTACTCAGGGACTCGACTGATAAGGGAGAAACTGTTTGGAGTCCGCTGAACCCCACGCCTAGGGTGGCACGCCACCTCTCGGTATTGAAAATCAATAGCCACGTGACTACAGGAAGGTCGGAGGTCTGCAGAATTAACTTCCTGGTACTAAATTACTAGCCCTTGTTTCTTGGTTTATTTTCTAACAATAATACATTTTAAGGGGACCTGGTTAGGAACCAGTTATGAAACACAAAGGGAGGAAACAGGGTCGCCGGCTGCCAGCTGCCAGCTTCCCCCACCAGCTCGGGGACCATCGGGAAAGGATGCTGAACGCTCCATCCACGTGCAAATCGTATATATTTTTTTTTTTTAAATGTATTTCTGTTTTAGTGTTGTTGTTTTAATCTTTCCATAAAGGATAAGCTCAGGTTTGGAAACTATCCATCCCTGACTTATCAAAATAATGCAGCTTAGTATTAACATGGCTACTCTTCCTGCTCCTGGTTATTTCATTTTAACTGAGACGTAAGCCGCCCCCAAGCCTAAGTGTTAGAATCGTTTTTCTTGGTGACTTCTGGACGAATCGTTAAGCACGGGTGTCTCAGAGCCCAGTCCCCACGCGGAGTCTTTACATTTGGAAAAACGGAGGCCCCAGTAATAGATATATGGGTTACATCTATTGATACTTTCATTTCCTAGGATGCTGAGAAATTTAAATTAGTCTGTTAAAAATAACAAAACCCCAATATATATTAGCCCAAGTTAACATACATTTAATAAAACCTGTATTTTCCAGAGCAAAACCCAGTTAGTGAGCAGAGCGAGCCTGTTTCCCGTTAGGCAACCGTCCCAACGTCACGTCTTTTCATTTGAACTCCGGGGACAATCTGACCTCGGAGGGACCTGCAGGTGAAAAGGGTGGGGTAGCCTGACGGCCTTTCCGGGGACCGTGGACCTGCCTCCCCGGTCCCGCGCTCACGCGCTGAGGGGCAGTTTCCTCAGCTCTGGCCGCCGTGTGGAACCTGGAGCCCGCCGGCGGACTCTCTGGTTCACGGAGCTGCTGGTCCCGCTGCGCTGAGAAAGGTCCGGGGACCCACACGTGGCTCCGTAACGTCACAGTGGTCATTTGGAAATGCTGGCTCACCGAGTTATGCTGATCTTCCCCACACTGACACGTCTCACTGCCTGACACCGAGAAGCTAATGTTTGTTAACAAACCGCCTTTAAGGACCCTGAAGCTGTAAAGCTCACAGTGGCAGATGCAAGTTTTCAAAAAGTCTGATTTTTGTTCAGAAACAGACATTTTTATCATCCATAACAAATACTGTCTGTTGCTCTCCTTGAAGGGACAGGATCGCTTCATTCGCTTTGAGAAAACATTTAGCAAACACAAGTCTGGGCCAGAAGCTGAGGATGTCAACACTGCAGGGAAACATCAAATGACTGTCCCAAGTGCTGCGCACACAGGCTAAGCGTGCTTTTCAATATTTTTTAGACACTTCCCTTCAGGTTCCTAGAACATTAACGAGAGTTCTAGGTTAGCCAGGCCACGTGTGGGCTGGTCTAGGCCTGATTCTAGAATAGTAAGGACAGGCATTGGCTTCCAGGGGGACCAGCACAGACCCTGAGGGGAAGGCCCTAGGCCCAGGTCTACGCTTCACAATTTACAAGCTGAGTGATTTGGAGCAAAACACTTCACTTCCCTATGGGGAGAAATGCCATTGAGGGTATTGTGAGAATTGTCAATTTTGATGAAGAATGAAAGGTTAGCTTTTGTGGGTGATGTTACATACTTACTAAAAGAAGTTTCCACAGCAGAGATGTGGGCACCCTGTTTGGAAAGCAGGGACCGCCGGGCAGCTGAAACCATGGCCCGGCATGGGGCTTGGGCCCAGGGTGCTGAAGAGGAAAGTCTGAGGGAGGCCCAGGGCTGGGGCACAGAGGTCTCTCCAGAATGAATGACACGCAGGGACAGTCCTGGGATGCTCAGTAGGCTGGTTTTCACCTCCGCTGGGCCCAGAGCTTTTCTCTGTTGTCTGGGAACATGTCCCTTTTTTATAAGTTAAAGACAACTCTTTTCAGAAATGTCTTTTTGGACTCGGGGAGTGTCTAAGGCAGACCTGGGGGGGGAGGGGTGTCTGAGAACTCGGCCACCAACCTCGTGGTTCAGGCTGCTTTTTTATGAAACCGAGACCCATCCACTGACAGTGGCCGACAGCTCCTCCTGGTGACTCAGTCTCCTGGCCTGGCGCGCCGTTATTTTTGGCCCAGAATTCGGCTCTGCAAACCGGCTGCTGTGTTTTTCTAGTTGTGAGGAGAGCTTCCAGGGGAGTTCTTCAGATAGTCATCATCTTGATCTTAAACGTAAATATTGTCACCTCGGTTTAAAGAGAGATTAATGATTTGCTGACAGCTCCACACATCCATAGGAAGTGAGCCCCAATGAGAATATTCTACCTTATTTCCAACAAGGCTGGTGGAAAGCCCATACCCATGGGTGGCCGACTGTCCCTGGAGCCGGGGCATCTTTTCTGAGCAACTTACCAGCCAAGAAAGAAGTTCAGCATTTGTCCTTTGAACAGGACAGTTGGCACTGCCATGAGCTGAGAGCTGGGTTTGTTCGGGGGCCTCGCAGCTCTGTGTCCCCTCTGGAGAAGAGACGAGAGTCACCGTTAGCTCCCCTCCAGAGAGGAGGAAGCTGAGGACCACACAGTTTGTGCAGCAGGCCTGTCCCCACCAGTACGGAAGCCCCATCAGACTGGCCACAAACTGGACCACACCTGGGCCCCCCCCCCCAGACTGGGCTGCAGGGGCTAATCCAGTCATGATTAGGCCACCTCAGTTCACTCCCTGGTTCCCTGGGGCCGCAGGTTACTGCCACCCCCAGGTCCTGGGGCAGTACCCCAGTTCCCTCATCTCTGTCCCAGGTCACTTCACCAGGCAGAGAAGCTCAGGAGATGCTTGTAGCCAGCCGCTGGCCCTAAGGACAGCGCGTCTCACTTCCGCCGCCACCTCAAATGTCTCCTGGGTGCAGCCAGGCCCACACTTCTACTAGGGATACCGCCAAAGTGTCAATACCAGAAGGACTGGCCAATTACACTCCACATCTGAATTTCTTATATTTTCAAAGTGTTTTACACTAATTAGTTAGTCCTGTTAGCTCTAAGGATTAGTAGCTTCTCTAACAAGACACAGCGACATTAAGAGACTTACCTAATTATGTAAAACGCAGGGACGCAGGGACTAGACGGCAGGCTTCTCCGCGCCAGGCTGGGCCTCGCTGCCAGGCCGAGGCGGCCGCCCGCCAACCGCTCTCGTGGGTCCCTGGGGAACAAGGAACGGGCGACGCAGGCCTGACCTGGACAGAAGGCGTTGACTGCCAACGCCGGTGGAGCACTAGATGCGGGCCCATCCTCTCCTCAGGGCCTGCCCGCCTCATGGGGTCTGTCCCTTGCCAGACATGGCACCGTCTCCCCAGCACAGAGACCTAGAGGCCGCAGCAGCCAGACTGCAGAACCAGCATGATGGGGATGGGCTGGGGGTCAAGCCAGAGGCCCTGTGTCCAAGTGAAGGACCCAAGAGACCTTCCCAGAGGAGGGGGGGGCAGGGGGAGAACCTGAAGCAACCTGGGAGGCTCAGGCAACACAAGCTCCCCTCCCCTGCAGATCTGCTCATCTACATCTGAGACCAATTTGCCTGAAACTCCAGAGTACCTGTCACATTGCTTCCTGGCACGGAAGTCAGATGTTTGCGTGGAAAAGTACCGACAGCTACATACCTCTTGGTGGTGTAATATTTAGACGTGTCATTTTACATCTCAAAGAAAAGGCACTTTAAGTAAACCCGTGTTCTCCATTCCTACGAGGTGTCCTGGCCTGGGGACGGGGCCGGAGCTGGCGGCTCCAGCCGGACGCCACCCCCCCGCGTGACGTGCTGCCCGAGGCCTTTGGCTGAAGTCGCCGAGGCCCAGGTGTGCATGTTCCGCAACCGGGTCACTTTGAATTACACCCCATGCCGCCCGCCGGGCACTCCGCTGCCCACTGTACAGGCTCTTTCTCAGGCCTCATGATCACCTGGCGATGGGGTGTGGTCACTCCCAGCCCTGTCCTCGCCTGGCTGCAGGACACCCACCCGGTGCTGTGAGAACAGAGGGAGAGAGGCCAGCCAGCACCCAGCCACGGGTGCCCAGGAACACAGAGTGGGCACTCGGGCAGGCGTGAGCAAGGAAGCACACACACCTTCCCAGGACAGGGGAAATTTTAACTCTACAAAGGGCTGTTTTCCTCCCCAGAGACACATGCACGAGGACTGAATGCATCAGTGGGCCCCGAGGCAGGAGGCAGCCCCCACACCTGTGGACAGGGCGGCACAGCACACGCCTTGCTGGGCGATAAAGTGAGCCCCGAGAGCACCATCCACGCGCCCCACCTGTCAGGTTGTGCCATCCCTACTGGCCCTGGACGAAGGCCCCAAAGATGGCCAGAGCTGGCCTTTCCTTCCTGGGAGGGGGCGCTCTGAGCTCTCCTTGTCTGTCTCGGATTCATTGGGGGGGGGGG